TGGTGTTTGAGTTCGAATCTGTCCTATGGTTGGATGACCCGTTGACTCCCCGAACCGTTGGCTTGATTCCGCACGCGAATGGATGCATTCAGTTGCTTGCGTGCGATTCGTTAACCTCGTCGCCTCGTTAATCCGCTTCGTTGCGTGTCACTCGGCTTCGGCGTTGTGGACTGACGCTCGTGTTTAGATACGTCACCCGATGGTTCGTTGGTTTGTCGAATCACCGTGCCGAGCTGTGTTCAGGGACCTATAGGCAGTTTTATACGCCTACAGTTTGCTTCTGGCAAACTAGTCTGATATTAAAATTCACACAAAATTTTAAATGCTTGGACGATCAATGATCATCACAAACTCAAGCAAGTAGAAATTAAACAAAGGCATAACCAGTTTATGCTATACTTTCTTCTAAACTCAAGGTTTCCAGATTCACATCTCCCATATTCAATAGGTTATCTTCATAATTGTCATCTTTTAAAGTTATGTTTGCTTCAGGCAAACTGGCATGATGTTTTTCACCTTGTTTTGCCTTCCCCTTTGAGTCCTTTTGACAAGAATAACTCATAACTACTGACATGAGGAGATGAATAATTATTTTACACGGAGATTTACATTGTGCCTTGAATGCTGAGGGCCAGTGTGACAGAATTTCCTTGTGATAATTGATATACTTAACAACCATAGTGGTATAAAATGATAAAAAATTTTGAGGCATAATTAACAATATCAAGTTACAAGTTACTGTATTCAACCTCCATAATTGGGTAGGCCTAATACCAAAAATACCCTAGTTTAATAACAACTAGGATTTAGCCCATATGATGCATGGATTAGTTTTTTTTTTGTTAACGCATATTGCGTACCTTTAGTGTTCTTTGTTTATGCATATTACATACACCTTTGTGTTTATTTACAAAGACATGCATTCATTGATTACAGGTGTCCGTGATCTCTCAATGTCTAAATTATTGCAGAGAGGCTTCCATAATCTCTTATAAATAGGTATAAATAATAGGGAGATAATTCATTGAGACAGTCTAGTACTCAAAGTGATAATGAAAAGGATTAAGGTTAGCAATTGCCTACCCTCTATAGTTGAGATGTAATCAACAGTATCAGGGTTAATTGCGGATAGACCATCTGTATGATTGCTTTAGACTCTTTTACCCTCAGGGAGTTTATTGTCAAAAAATAATTTTCTCATTCCAAGTGACTATGACAGAGAAGAAAAGGTTTCATTGGGACGTCTGCATGCAAAGGTAAAACTAGAAGGGTAGCTAGTTAAAAACAACGACACTACATCAAATAACTCTTGTTTTTAGTTAATATAAATGAAAGCTTAAACTAGACCGAGTTTCTGTATTTGACCCTATATGTAAATAAGCTTTAGTAATTTCGTGTGCTTCGCTAGTTTGAAAGTTACTACAATTATATATTTATTTTCTGAGAACAGAGAGGAATACAGTATGAGCTCATGAGTTCTACTTACAATATGTCTAGACCTATACATATATAATTACGTATTTATTTTCAGAATAAAATATTATAAACTTTTTATTTTTTGGTTTCAGTTCATGAAAATTATCAGCGATCTCTAAATATGTTTAATAAAAATGTGCAGATATCAAAATATCCCTTATCTTTAATACAAATACTATATCCAAAATATAAAATAAAAGATATGCTAGAGAAGAAGGGATTTTGCAAATACCTCTTACCACCAACGGACGATTACGAACCGGCTAGCTAGAGCTTTCGTGCTGATAACGTGTTGTAATATACTAAAGAAATGAAACAAGAGACAAGAGACAAGAAAAGAAGAGAAATTGTAATCTCTTATTCATCATCTTCCATTTTCATACATCGTACAATTTATAGATACATGATGGAATACAAAAGGACATGAAATTAATAGTCCACATACAAATTAATGTCCACATAGATTTTGTCTTTTAGATTTCCACAAAATGTCACTTAGATTTCAACAGATGCAACGTTAAATTACTGCAGAAAGGTGAGAGTAGCAAGTAGTGAAGAGTGAGCAGTGAGAACAAGTTGAAAATGGCTTTATGTGAACACATTAATCAATCATCTCCTCGAGACGTGAAAGAGGACTTAATTGTGGCACCACCAGCCCGAGATACAGGAGTCAACAACACACCACTTACCTTTTAATAGCAGAAAATTAAGAATAATAAGCTACTCATATTTGTTAATAAACAAAACTAACTATTTATGTTCTTAAATGTATAAGAGCATCTCCAACAGTTTTCCCAAAAAAAATTTCAAAATGGGGAAGCAAAAGTCATATTCTCCATATTATTTTTGCTCCAACTCTAATAGTTTTCCTATTTTGAAGAATCTTGTATTTATTACAATAATAAAAATATTCTACATCTCTATTTTGGGATGCTCTTATGCATTGGAACTGCCTCCATGGCTTTTTTTTGTAATTACGGATTTTGTTTTATATTTATTTTCTCCTCCATCCCGTTTTGAAGAACGTGTTATATTTATGACAAAGCTCTCTTCAAATATTTGAAGAATGCCCCAGATTTGGGGAAGACTCCCTTTTTTTTCTTCTCCATCCCTATTTTGGGGAATGGGTGTAGGCTTCTGAACAGGATCAATCTAAGTACAAACCTGTAAACTGAGTGCAAACCTGTAAACAAATATAGCCTGGCTGATTTTTGAGAGAACGAACAGCAAAACAGATGAGGTTCTGTAGGAATCTTTTCTAAAACCTCTGTTTCTGTTGATGAACACAAGCAATGAAGGAGCATGGACTTCTCTCTTGATTTTATTCACGTTCTGAAAACTCATATAGATTGTTTACATATATATAAAGACATAGGAATAAGATTACAACTATAATCTTTATCCAATAACTAGGAAACTATCCACTAACAGGAATTCTATCTACTAACTAATATTCTATCCATTAACTCAGACTCAAACTAACCAGTTCGGCCTGATTAACAATCTCACATTCTCCCCCTTAATCTAGACGAGACTCTAAGTCCCTTACTCCTAGCAACTCCCGCATCTCGATGAACTTCACCCTTGCTAGTGCCTTCGTGAGAATATCTGCTCGCTGCTCACTCGTGCTTACGAACTCCACTTTAATCTGTCCTTGCTCAACACACTCACGAATGAAGTGAAAGCGTGTGTCAATATGCTTGCTTCTTCCATGGAAAACCGGATTCTTCATCAAGGCAATTGCGGACTTGTTCTCGACGAAGAGTGTAACGGGCTTGGGCTCACTCCCAATCACCTCGCTAATTAAACTCCTCAGCCACAGGCCTTGGCATGCTGCTGCAGTTGCCGCCATAAATTCTGCCGCGCAGGATGATAATGTCACCGTCTTCTGCTTCTGTGATGTCCAAGTGACCAGGCTGTCACCTAGATAGAATGCCATGCTGCCTGTGCTGCGCTTATCATCAACGTCTCCCGCAAGATCACTGTCAGTGAATCCCACCAACTCTTCATTGCCTCGACCTCGTTTATACACCAATCCGTAGGACACAGTACCCTTCACGTACCTCAGAATATGCTTGACAGCCTGTCGATGCAAAACTGTAGGGTGCTCCATGTACCTACTCACAATCCCCACGGCATATGTGATATCGGGTCGGGTGTGAGTTAGGTACTTTAAACATCCGATGATGCGTCTATACTTTGTTACGTCCACCGGTGTTCCTTCAGAATCCTTTCCAAGTTTTAGCTTTGCTTCCATGGGATATTAGATCGGGTTGCAATCCATCATGCCGAACTGATCCAAAACTTTTTTCGCATAGGCCGCCTGCCTTAGCGCAATGAAATCATCTCGCTGATCCACCTCGATACCAAGATAATAGGAAAGTAACCCAAGGTCACTCATCTCGAACTCCTTCATCATCTGTTGCTTGAAAAACTTGATCTCATCCGCTCTCGAGCCCGTAACGATCAAGTCATCCACGTACACGCCAACAATGAGTATATCCCCTCTGTTACTCCTGGTGTATACTGCCTGCTCCTGAGTACATCTTGCAAATCCGATGCCCTTCATGCACTTGTCGAGGCGCGTGTTCCATGCCCGAGGTGCTTGGCGTAGACCGTAGAGTGCCTTTGAAAGCTTGTAGACCTTGTGCTCTTGATTCTTCACAACGAACCCTTCAGGTTGAACCACATACACTTCTTCCTGGAGATCACCATTTAGGAATGTCGACTTCACATCCAGATGGTGCACCTCCCACCCGTTCTGTGCTGATATAGCGAGGATTATTTTGATGGTATCAAGTCTCGCCACAGGTGCAAACACCTCATCGAAGTCCACGCCTTGCTGCTGAACGTAGCCTTTTGCTACAAGTCTTGCCTTGTGCTTGAGAATGTTGCTTTCATTGTCCTTCTTCAGCTTGTACACCCATTTGAGACCAATGAGTTTGGAACCCCGTGGTAACTCCGTGAGTACCCAAGTCTTATTCTTCTCGATGGCCTCCAATTCCTTCTCCATGGCTGTCCGCCATTCTTGATCAGGCCGAACTGGTTAGTTTGAGTCTAAGTTAATGGATAGAATATTAGTTAGTAGATAGAATTCTTGTTAGTGGATAATTTCCTAGTTATTGGATAAAGATTAAAGCTGTAATCTTTATCCAATAACTAGGAAACTATCCACTAACAAGAATTCTATCTACTAACTAATATTCTATCCATTAACTCAGACTCAAACTAACCAGTTCGGCCTGATTAACAATCTCACAATGGAATGGAGAATCTGTTGGACAAAAAAAAAAGCCTAAAATTCTCTAAAAGTAAGAATACCAATAAAATAGGGAAGCTGTTGGAGATGTTCTAAGACCACGCATCTTCAGGTTCCTCACAAGCTCTCTACCTAAAGTACCCCTCACAGATACGCTAACTCCGGCCTCCATACTAGAGAGACTTCAGTAGAATTGACCATTCAACTGTGATAACGCAACCGGAACGTTACTTTTAGAAAAAGAAAAAAAAAGGGGAAAACACGACGAGAATTAATTTTTGGGAGCGCGCGAACTGTTGCGCGCCTAAAATCCCGGAGAGAGAGCGAAGCAGAAGAGACCGTCGGCACGACCAAAGCCGGAACAGAATGAGGGCTATTTAGGTAATTCAACCATAAGCACATGGGCAGTCGACCCGACCCTATGGGACAAAAGCTTCAGGCTAAGTTTTTCTTCCCCCCACTGCTCTCTAAAATAAATATACATTATTATATAACCAGCGTCCGTTGTCACATTGGAGAAGCAAGAAATTAACGTACTGTTCCTCCTCCTCCTCCTCCTCCTCCTTGGTTTTAACAATGTCAGGCCCATATTGCTGCTGCTTCTATCTTTGCCCCTTGATTCTCTTTCTTGGGTTCGACATTGTCGAGTCACATCAGATTGGGGACCAGCATTGGCGCCCGGCGACCGCGACTTGGTATGGGAGCCCCGAAGGAGACGGAAGTGACGGTAAGCTTTCTGATCGATCACCTCAAGAAGTTCCAGGGTAGTATTTTAGTTCACTTAATGTCGGGAGGAAGGAGAAAATACATTTGATGGATCGCGTCTACTGGATATATAGCTGATAATTCGATAATAATTAAAGGGCAGTCAAACTATGGGCAAAATATATAGCTGAAAAGTTCTCGGTTCGTCTCGAGATGTTTATTGTCATCATCATCATCATCATTGCAAAATAATCGTTATTGGCGTTATTTAGCCTCTAGACTCCTAGATGGCGGCATTTTCAGAGGTCAATAGGCAGTAATCAGTATGTAATTAGATGCTCAATCATAAACGTGTTGCTTATTCTAATATGTTGCCCAAGCCCCGCATCAGATGCTCTAGCACCCCCCACACTTGATCTGTCTCAAATACCAAATAATTTCGGACCAGCAGCTATGTTCCGATAAACCCACGTGTACTCTTCTTGCTTAATTTGCTATTTTCTTACATTATGTTTACGCTCCAACTTCACCACTTCCGCATTTTCAATCCTAATTAAGGTGGGGCCTGCGGCTACGGCGATCTCGTGGACGTTCGCCCCCTAAAGGCTCGCGTGGGCGCAGTGAGCCCGGTGCTGTTCAAGGACGGGGAACCCCACCATCTGCTCTCGACGGGCCGTGACGGTGATCATAACGGACGAGTGCCCCGGAGGTTACTGCGCTTTTGGCCGTACGCACTTTGATCTGAGTGGGGCTGCGTTCGGACGGATGGCCGTTAACGGCGAGGGGTCTGAGCTCCGTGATCGAGGCGAGATCTCGGTCCTTTATCGAAGGTAAAAGCATTAAATTATTTGTTACGGTTTTTTACTCTTTTTGACTGGGGGGTTTATTAGCGACTTCTTAAATGACGGGAATGCCCATTTTGAGTCTACTGTCGCTAGGTGTACTTTTTCTCTGTGGCTTGCATGTGGTATCTCACATAGGGTTGTGGCTTTTTCTTGTTGAGCTTTTGTAGCTTATTGTACCTTATTTTGGCTTGTCCGGTCCGATTTTATGATGTTATGGGGGTGATATGGGAGAGTAAGTATTTTATCATACAAAAAAGCTAATTGGCTCCCCCTGTTCCCCACACTGCGAGTTGGGGGGCTCGCGGTTGGACCGCGAGCCAAATAGCAGGGCTCTTTATCATAATCCCGCACTGTGGAGGGTGTCTCCAGCTAGCCGTACAAATGATCTTACTTGTGGAGAAAGACTTAAATATATAGTATTGGTGTATCTCAATGGGACACACAATTAGATGATTTTTATGTAGTTTACTTATTTAATGTCATCTATGAGGTTCACAGAGTAAGAAGAATTGATTTGCGAATTGTAGAAATTCTTTATAACTAAGGGAATAGAGGATCTCTAGGCTGATATATCATTGCTCCTCCTATGCACGGCTCAGATGCCCCACATAGTGGGGGTGTTCTGATAGAATCTTCGGTATATCGTACATATTTAAAAGTTTCTCGTTGTTATTATTTCTTTGTATTTACTTAACGCATAATCTTAAATTAAATGTTTAAGGAAGAGGGATTAATGATAAGGGCTGATATAGGTAGACCATTAGACCATTTATTAATCTGGATGTTAAATTGTTAACCTATAAGGTAAAAATTATTTTAATCTTTTTGATCGCTTTTAGTGTTTGAGAATATTGAAACTGTGAGTGCTTTCTTTATAATAAATATAGAAAATTACCTGTTAACTTAACAAAATATATAGGAGCATTAGTGGACCCCTCACTTTTGAGGGGTTAATGAATTTTAACTCTCTAGAGGGAATATCTTAATTATTTTTCATTTTTTCGTGTTGGGAAAGTTATATAGGAATTAATCAATTTATTCATTATCTAGTTTTTATTTGTGTTTGGCATGTTAATAAGGGTTTCTCTCTCCTTAACTTCTAACTAAACACATCACCAAATGACACGTTAAAGCCTAAAACCAAATATAGTTTGTCTTTCCCGCACTGGATATACAGTTTCGAAGGTACACGGGACGTGTACGTATATATTCATTTGTTAATCACGGGACATACACGTGTAGACATATATTTGTATACGATGACATGCTCATTATATACATGTTAAACTCAGGGTAGTCGGAAGTTTACGGAGTTTTAAATGAATATAGGAAATGTCTTTAATAAAAAAATTATATATATTACGTACATTGTAATTCGAAAAAGATATAAAGATTTATGCTTGCTGTCAAAATCAATTAATTTTAAAATTTATATATTTCAAACTAATATAAATAGGATGTTCGAGGAGAATCGTTCCATTAACAATGAATTGGATTGCTGAAGTAGCGAAACAGATATGTTATATTTAATTTATCGGCAATTCCTAGTAATTAATTAATATTGTGGAATATGCAATTGCTTGTAGGACTCCATGCAAATATCCCGGCAAAAATGTGGCATTCCATGTGAATGAAGGGTCCACAGACTACTGGCTTTCTCTTCTAATTGAGTTTGAGGATGGAGATGGAGACATCGGATCTATGCACATCAAACAAGTACGTTTATGAATCCATAACTCTCGTCTCCCTTTGGGATACTTGGTTTTTATTTTTTTTCTGAAGCCCATGTTGTGCGCGGCGGAAGCTTTTCTTGTGCAACACGAACAATAACTCGAACTAACCACAAGTAATATGCAAACACAACCACAGCAAGAACAAATAATTTACGCGGTTCGGCAAGTTGCCTACGTCCACGGGGCAATGAGGAGGGGAGTTCTTACTATTAGAAATAAGAGAATACAAGTAGAGTTACAAATCTCTCAGATCAAACCCTAAAACAAAGCTCTTGATCTCTAAACTCTCCCACAATTGGATGCAACAATTCTCTCTCAAAGACTGCTCAAATTCGTCCTTGCTTAACCCTAAACAATCAGGTTTTGAGTTATATACAACTCAGAAACGAAATGAGTCAAAATCTAGAAAGCCCAGCCCAGAACATCGACGGTCGACCGCGGCGGTCGACCGTCAGTCTGCCTGGCTGATTTCTTTGTTGTTTTCCTGTAATTCTTCAATTCTCCACCTCGGCGAATGTTTTCACCAAAACTGAGCCGACACCAAATCATCCAATAGTCCCTCAACAAGTCAGGAAACCAATCTAGAGCTGAAACGCGATCTCTCCCCCCATCTGAATCAATTGATCAAACCGACTGCATCTGAAAGACTGTCTACGTATCCTCTTACCCAAGGAATCAAGCCGAACGTAGTTCACCCAAATGGCCTCCAAAGGCCTTAGCACTGAAGGATGTTCAAAAGCTTCAAACAATGACCAAATTTCACTCCTGAAATAACTTTGGTCAACATATCTGCAGGGTTGTCATTAGTGTGAACTTTCTCTAGTATGACGTCTTCATCATCCAACACGTCACGTACAAAGTGAAATCTGACGTCTATGTTCTTCGTGCGCGCATGATAAATCTGGTTCTTCGCTAAATAGATAGCCGACATGCTATCACAATATACCCGAATAGTCTCCTGAGCGATCCCCAAGTCCTTCAATAATCCACGCAACCATAAAGCCTCCTTAATAGCTTCAATAACTATCATATACTCTGCCTATGTAGTAGAGAGAGCCACTGTGGACTGAAGTGTGCATCGCTAACATACAGGTGCACCTGCCAATGTAAAAGCATAACCTGAAGTAGACCGGCATTTGTCAAGATCTCCAGCATAATCTGAATCCACATATCCAATACAATCCTGCCCATCCTTCTCATCCTTCTGGAATACTAAACCAACATCCACGGTGCCTCGAACATACCGTAGAATCCACTTCACGGCCTCCCAATGACCCTTCCCGGGGTCGTGCATGTATCTCGATACCATGCTCACGGCCTGTGATAAATCTGACCTTGTACACACCATCGCATACATCAAGCTACCTACTATACTAGCATATGGGACCTTCGACATATAATCTCTGTCCTCAACTGAAACATGTGACATCAACGCTGAAAGCTTAAAGTGGGGAGCCAATGGTGTGCTAACTGCTTTTGCATTGCCATCAAAGTTGAATTTCTTCAACATCTTCTGCAAGTAGCTCTTCTGTGTAAGTTTCAAACTCCCTTTCACCCTGTCTCTCTCGATCTACATACCCAATATCTTCTTTGCCTCTCCAAGATCCTTCATCTCAAACTCGGATGACAGCTCATCTTTTAACTTTCGAATAGCCGAAGAATTCCTGGAAGCAATAAGCATATCATCAACATATAAAAGCAAATATATGTACTCACCATCATGTAGCTTGTGCATATAAACACATGGGTCATATGGACTCCTCGTGTACCCTCGGCCAATCATAAAGCCGTCGAATCTCTTATACCACTGTCTTGGTGACTGCTTCAAACCATAAAGAGACTTCTTCAGTTTACAAACCAAATCTTCCTTTCCTACAACTTTGAAACCCTAGGGTTGTGTCATGTAGATCTCCTCATCTAAATCACCGTGTAGAAAGGCTGTCTTCACATCCATCTGGACCAAATCCAAATCCAACTGTGCCACCAACGTCAATAAAATCCGTATAGACGAATGCTTCACAACGGGTGAAAATACCTCGTTGTAATCAATGTCCTCAAGCTGTGCATATCCCTTGGCAACCAATCTGGCTTTGAACCTTATGTCCCCAATAGAAGATCCCTCCTTCTTCGCATATACCCACTTGCAACCTATAGCCTTCTTACCATTAGGTAGATGTACAAGTGTCCAAGTATCGTTCTTCTGAAGAGACCGCATCTCCTCCTCCATAGCTTCCCTCCACCTGATCGAATCAGAGCTAGACTCTGCCTCCCTGAATGTGGCTGGAATCATATCATCAACGACCTCCACTGATAATGCATATGCGACCATGACATCATTATATCTAGCTGGCCGACAAATCTCTCTTCTCGGTCTATCTGCTGCAATGGACCTCTTAACATGACCCTGTTCATGAGTCCCATGATCCACTGTATCCTGTATCTTCCCGGCTGTCATCTTATCTCCTCCCAGTGTCACCTCTGTAGGAGCCTCGATGGATACAGTGCTATCTGGAGTCCCAATTGTTGTGCGCGGCGGAAGCTTTTCTTGTGCAACACGAACAATAACTCGAACTAACCACAACTAATATGCAAACACAACCACATCAAGAACAAACAATTTACGTGGTTCGGCAAGTTGCCTACGTCCACAGAGCAAGGAGGGGGGAGTTCTTACTATTAAAAATCAGAGAATACAAGTAGAGTTACAAATCTCTCAGATCAAACCCTAAAACAAAGCTCTTGATCTCTCTTAACTCTCCCACAATTGGATGCGACAATTCTCTCTCAAAGACTGCTCAAATTCATCCTTTCCGAATCCTGGTAGTCTTCGTGCACGTTCACGGTCGACTGCGACGGTCGACCGCCAGTCTGCCTGGCTGATTTCTTTGCTGTTTTCCTGTCTGCCAGTCTGGGCTGGGCTTTCTGGATTTTGACCCGTTTCGTTTCTGAGTCGTATATAACTCAAAACCTGATTGTTTAGGGTTAAACAAGGACGAATTTGAGCAGTCTTTTAGAGAGAATTGTTGCATCCAATTGTGGGAGAGTTGAGAGAGATCAAGAGCTTTGTTTTAGGGTTTGATCTGTTGCATCCAATTGTGGGAGAGTTGAGAGAGATCAAGAGCTTTGTTTTAGGGTTTGATCTGAGAGATTTGTAACTCTACTTGGAGTTGAGAGAGATCAAGAGCTTTGTTTTAGGGTTTGATCTGAGAGATTTGTAACTCTACTTGTATTCTTCAAAGCATTAATTCCAAAACAATATGCGACCACTATTTTCAATTTGGGTCTTGACTTATGTAATTATAAGTTTTTTAGTAAAAAAATTATTTGGGTACACACCCCATGGCATGGGAGTGCAACCATGTATATCTCCTAAATTATTTTATTAATAGTTATTGTTTCTAAACTTCAGACTAATTTATTTTTACAATATGCATATCATTCTAACTGAAAAATAACACCACCTAGAGTATACGTAAGTTCTCAAAGTGCCTTAGAGAGTAGAAATGACTACAATTCTATAGTAGAAAGGTTGTATTAACAGCCAACCCTTTTTGATATAATTAACGAGAATATGTATATGCGCCGGATATTTAAAAGTAAGTATTAAAAAAAAGTTTTGCAATTAAAATATCTTGTCTGGTGTATACAAGAGCTTTTAGGAGACACTGTCACCAGCAAACCACAAATTAAGGAGCAAAAACGAAAACGAAAAAAAAAAAACAGCATGTCGCAATGTGGTGGCGCTTTCACTAGCACACTATACAAAGGAGAGAGAAAAAAAATATAAAAATAAAAAAGAAGAAGAAGAAGGAAGGCAAACATGTTGCAATGTGGTATGGCATGTGGGGCTACTTCTTACATAATATAAAGGATTTTGATCTAATAAAAAACAATAAATTGAGGAAGTGTTCTTTAATTTATTGGTCCAGCCACTATAATGTAGCGCCTCCCAAATTGAATCCAAAGGTGTGAGATTGCTTTAGTTTGTCTTAAAATTCATACTAAGACAGATGATGCATCCTATGCATTCTAAGACCAAAACATTAATATCAAAAGAGTAAGCAACTGCCATTATAATTTAAAAGTAAGAGAATTGCTGTTCATTAAAATACGCACATAATTAATGCATATTTCAACGAAGAATATGCTCCATGCGAAAAGAGAGCCCAACATGCACTTTTTTTTTATGATATAACACTACAAGATAAGATTTGCCCCATGTTCACATGCTCAAAAACAGATTCCTCCCTGTGAGTTTGCTTTTGGGACGGATCTTTAAGAAAAGGAACATGCTTGCTCTGAGGGAATCAGAAGGTCACGCCTTCAACTTAAGATACTTTGTTTACTAAAATGTTTCTTTTACTCCACCATGCTTGCACCAACACAAGCTCCATAAAGCATAAACATTTCTGATGCATTTTATTCGCTTATTCTTTAGTCATGCCTGTGTACTATTTATGACACAAACTTTTGACTCTCACTTGCACTCCAGCAACTGAAACTTGTGCATGTGGACACACTAATTTATGTTTGAATGCTTGCTGTAGTAGTATATCCACGGTTTGAATAAAGTGCTGAAAATACTTTTGTATAACACGCAGTTGAATTTCCAGCAAAAGTCTGTAAGACATCCAAGATAATCCCTTTGTGCTATTGAATTTCACAGATGGTTCCCCTGATCTATTAGATTTTTATATACAACTGTGATGGACCGAAAATTTAGTCCGGCATTGGGAGCTCACAGGCATGTAAATGGTTTAAATGATGAATTATGATTTGTGCGAAACAACATGCTGCACTCAGTGGATCTTGATCTTAGGGACTACATATTGAGCGTGGGAATAGTTCTATTTAAATTAATAATGAATTTGACAGGCCTGTCTATTAAAATGATGATAGTCCATGCTTTCTCCGTGTAGGGGATAGTTTGGGAGTTTCAACAGTCCCTTTTATGGTTATGGGTAGAGTGTGTAGATAAGATTTCTATTCAAATAGTTATGATAAAAGAAGCTTAGTTGCCGAGCTGACATTATTGTTGGGGATTCGAAACAATCAATAGATCAACCCGCGCCCTTCCGGACCTTGTGCTAAGAGTTTAGCATGCAGGAAAATCACTGTAAATAAAAGAAAACTTGCAGGAAAGATAAACAAGGAAAAACACACCAGATTTAACGAGGTTCGGCAACGTGCCTACGTCCTCGTGAGCCACACCACACAATTCTTTGATTAATTGAAGAAGATTACAATGCCCACAAATAGGTTTTTATCTCTTTGAAAGAATCCTCTCAAAACCCTCTTTTTCTCGTGTTCTTATAACCCTAAAATCGTTTAGGTATATATATAGGATCCTAGCCCAAAACAGTTTCCCAAACAGTTTAGGAAACTGAAAAATGACTTTCGGTCGACCAGACCATGAGTGTCGGTCGACCGACCAGAACGTCAATTTCCTACAGGTTTTTATCCACCTTTTCGGTCGATCAGACCATCACCTTCGGTTGACCAAATGACCACTCTCGGTCGACCGACACCAAGCTTCGGTCGACCCGCTAGAATGATTTCCTGGGCTGTTTTCCTACATGCTTCGCGGTCGACCGGGGTCACCATGTCGGCGGCTGACCCAAGAATTTTCAAACTTATAGTTTTGTTTTAGGTTTTCGGTTTTCACACTTCCAAAACCAACAATTATAATATGTTTTTCTTAAATTCAGTGAGAATGAGGAGGTAAACATTATATTTATAGTATCATTAATGTAATATAAATGCAAATTTCCGCCACTCATCCACTTACTGACATAAATTTAACTCCTTGATCCAAAATTGCAGTCAAGTTCCAATGAATGGCTAGAGATGAAGCATCTCTGGGGAGCAAACTGGTGCATAATTGGAGGACCTCTGAGGGGTCCATTCTCTGTAAAACTTACCACATTGTCAACACAAAGGGTACTCTCCACAAGAAATGTGATCCCAAAGAACTGGTCTCCCAAGGCAACTTACACCTCTCGCCTCAATTTCACCTAATATCTTGGCCATAAATTGAGTATAGACAAAACTCTTCCATAGATAATATTATATGATCTTCCAATATCTTTGAGTTTGGAAGTTTGTATGTAACAGTTGAAGCCCTTGTAGCCCTCTCCTAAGAGGAGAGAGAGCGTCTTCGTTATCTTTTTATGTGAGCTCTGTAAAGCCCCATCTAGATTTAAAGTGTATGGGGCCTCAATCACAGTGGCAATTAATGTTTTTTCTTTGCATTGTTATGCGAGTGGTGAAGTAATTTTGGGAAAAATGTGTCTCAGGATCTTGACCCTTGTGACTTGCTTCACGTAAATGAAGACTTCGTCACATGCTTAAAAGAAATTTGTCTGCTAACCAATCGCATGCTTGCACATGGTTTGCTTTCAAGTTAAAATGGGATATGATACTTCTTGGTGAATGAGGAGTAAATTAATCCACAGATTGGAGAAAATTGTACTAGCAATCGCTGAGGCAGTTTGATTTGTTATGATTGTTACTGCAATTTGCATAGAAATGTAGATGTTATAACTGTTATCACCTGTAGTTATGGTTATAATTGTTTGGTTCAGTTTAAAATGTTACAATTAGTATAGCTAGAATTCAATTAATTTAGCTATAGATTAATATTTATTTCAGTGGAATCCGGTTCTTTGAAGTTATATTGGTAGCTGATGCAGTCGACTAGATCACTTACGAATTAATTCCCTTTAAAGTTTGACTGCAGTCCAAAAAAGTTGAAATTGCAACTTACTTCGAGAACGCGGTAAAAGATCAGCCTGTAACTAAACCAAACAGCACAACGTGTGACATGAAACTTCAAGGACTAAGATCTTTTGCAATGATTACTGCAATATGCAGCTTGCATCAAGGTTTTAGATGTTAGATCAAAACCGGAGAAATAAGCTTTTATTAAAAACTTTATCATTTCATTCCCTCCGTAAGCACCAACGGAAGGATGACATTAGCAATTTCCACAATAATTTTGATTCTTGATTCGGCATAAAACTGCCGGCAGAGTGAATCAAATCATAGAAGCTTGAAGGGTAGTTTGAAATATGCATTTTTGATCAAGACCTCATGGTAAATGAGACAGCGGGGAAAAAAAGGATGTGAAATAGATTCAACATGGTAGTCTCTTGGCAATTAGGAGATGGCTCTAGAATCCAATTTGGAGGACAAGTGGTTAGGCATAATTTATTTTAGCAAGTCTCTTTGCTATGGCCTAGATTTTGCCCTCTCTAAAAATGTCTCTGTCGCATCCTGAGGGTCAAACTGAAATGGTGTTTGGATATGACATTGGTTAGGATGTTGTCTGTATGATATCTCTTGTTTAAGTAATAACAAACATTCGTTTATACTAATCTAAGTTTGAGATAATCTAGTATAGATATATACATGTATATAAACATAAACGATATGAAACGAAGTGAAAATCAATTCAAAAGCCGATTTTAGGGATCTAACCATCGATAGTGCACATCGACCATCGATGGTGACATGGAGACCAACAATGGTTTGTGTGTGTTATCAGTGGTGCAAATATCCAGCGACGTCCAGATCATCGAAGGCTCACTCAAACATCAATAGTCGCTTGACACCATCCATGGTCAAAGTTACCATCGATGGCAAACATGGCTATTTCAAAATTTTAGGTTTAATCTTAGCCATTCGTTGCACATGAAGTCTCCATCTTCTCCTATGTTGTGGGGCTGTTCTTTCCTGAACCCTAACCTAATTGTGAGTGAAAAAAGAGACAAAAATAGAGATGAGATCCAGGGCTTGAGAATTGTGATCAAGGAGATCATTTTCATACCTCAAAGCCTTGTCAAATGCTATCTTGCCACACACAAAATCATTTTATCAGTTCACAGTAAATAGAGCTACCCTTAGAGTTTATCTTCATCCTTGTTCTTTATCAAGCTTCACTTAAATCTTTAGAAGGACGGTTTATTAATTGAAAGGGCTATAAAATCGTTTTTTAATCTGAACTTAATTGTTATTTATTTTCTCTTTCATTAAACTTCCTCTACGGCATACTCAAGCCGGCTTAATTGAGGGTTGAGACCAGCTAGTGCTAGGAGTTACTCATTGTGAGAGTTATGTTAGGACCAGGTAGTTGTTTGGTGGGAAAATTCGAAGAAGATAATTGAGAACAAAAATGTGTTATTCTCTCTAACTGATTTAGATAAAGAATGATTACAACGTTCTCAATACAATTTCTCTCTAACAAACTTAGAAAAAGAAATTACAATATTCTCAATCGGAATCCAGATTTACAAAAGAGAGAAGGGTTGACGAAGATCATTCCCTTTATTTAACCTGGGTTCTTTTTGGTGTCGATGAGATGCCTCCCTTGAAACTCGTGTCGATTTTACTTCTCGTTGACGATTCAATGTTTCACTTTGTTGTAATAAAGTCTATTCCTCTCGGATTTATTGTCGTGGAGAATTTGCGTAGCAAGTTGAACAGAATTCTTGACGAGTTTAGAAACTCAGATCGAGCTTAAAACTCTGTAAAAGAGTTGATTTGAACAGATTTTAATAAGCCAAGTGCCAAATCTCCAAAGATTTTCTGTTGCTGAAGAATGCCTTAAAGATGAATGTCAATCTCCAAAATCCTTCAAGATCCAAAAAGCCCCGAACTTAACTGATTTTTCAGTTATTTTTAGGGGATTAAGAGGTGTAACTGACCCCTAAAATCTCTCCTAAGTGGGGGAGTGATCCCCTCGAATCATGAAAAACTGTTTTGAAACCGTTCAGCTAGTGTTTGAATGGGTCAAACGTAGAATCCACGTTCTGGTATGAATACTATGTTTAAACGCAGCATTTTGAAGTTGCGTTAGCATCTTTTGGAAGCTGCGTTGGGCAACACATGGAAGCTGCATTGACAGCATTTAAGAGCTGCATTTGGCAGCGGATGGAAGCTGCATTGGCAGCATTTAGGAGTTGTGTTTGGCAGCGGATGGAAGCTGTGTTGGTAGCATTGCCTTGACTTTGGAACGAGGCCACTTGCATTTCATTTCTAGGATGCAGAGATAAGATCTGCATCTTGGACTGAAGTGATCATTGACTTGTAATCTCTTCTGTCAAAGCGTTACAAAGATTGTCATTTTGTAATCTTTGCTTTAGCTCCTTGAAATGTGAGAGTTGTTAGATTGTAACTCTCACTGTTGATTATGAAGACTGTTGAATCAGAGCTTTCATTGATTGTCGTGAAGGTTGTTTAATTATAGCCTTCATCATTAAGTCGTTGATGCGAAGGTCATCAGATTGTAACTTCCGTTATTAGTGTTTGATGGGATCAGTCATCTGTAGTAATTTTTAGACAGCCTACATAACCCCCTCCAAAGTTTTTGAAAGTTCGTGGTTGACTGGAACGAATTTTCAGAATATTTTGGATCCCTAAATTGGTTTGAGATTTGTTGTTGAATGATGGTTCACTATATCTATTTTGAAGTATCATAAACCTGATTGTAGAATTTTGCTGCACAAGACCCGTATGCTGGTGACCTGCAACGTAATAGGATTTTTGGTAAATTCTCAACCATCAACGGATTTGATGTGCCTTTACCGATTTCTGTTTGAAATCGGGCTAGCATATGAATTGTTTAAGTCCGTTCTATATGTAACATTATGCTAAAAGAATAAACTCTTTTAGGTTTGGTGCTATGATATTGAATACATAGGATTTGATGAATATGTGAGATGCAGCTCCAATTTGACCAGAATGATCCTTGTACGAATTGATGAACACCCAAGGCGCAGCCCAAATTTGACTAAAATGATCCTTATAGGTATTGATGAACACCCAAGGTGCAGCTGCAAGAGTTGGATAATAAAGAGCCAAGGACAATGAAGTAACCATAGACACACCAGCTGCAAACTTGTCAACGAGGTCATCCTCAGTGAGGTTGAGCACCTTTGGGCTGAAGATAGATCCATTGTCATAGACAGAGCGAACCACAAGCCCGTGTAAGAAGGACCTTATCCCAAGTTTGGCAAGGAGGATAGCCTCAAAGGAACCCACTTTGTCTTCTTTCTTGATCAGCTCAACTTGGGTAATGATTTCAATAATATCCTTATTAGTTTTGGTTAGAATGTTAAGCCATTTGAAAGGATGAGTTGCGCGAAGGATCAAGCTCAATATTGTCAGCGACATCAATTATAATCTGTCTGTACTCATTCAAGAGGCTGCATAACTTATTGTTGTAAATCAGTTTCTTCTCGGCTTTCGTCACCTTGATGGTCATTGCTAACTTCTCTCCAAGTATCTGAAGATGTATAATAGCCTTGTTGGTTATGGCAAATTAGCGCATAAGTGGAACCTGTGTTTTTGAAGTTGAAACGCAGAAGGAAGCCCTGCGTTATTGGAGTTGAAACACAGGAGGAAGTCTTGCGTTTAGGATTTTGAGACGCAGCAATAAGTGTCTGGGAGTTTAACCGACTCAGTGTGAATGCAAAGATTGCGTTTGGGCGGGATTTATCTCATCCTGATTTGATAGCTCACCACTGTTTATAAATAGATCATCAGGGTCAAATCAAAAGTCATTCAACTTTCCGCAACTGTTCATATTCTCTAGCGAACCTAACAAATATTTTTTGTTTCAATCTCCAGCGAATCCTAGTCATCTTCTTCCACAGGGTTGGGATGGCTTCCAAGAAGAAAACCGCTTCTAAATCGAAGATTGTCCTTGCTCCGGGTACATCGTCAGCTAAGGCCGCTAGTGGTGCTTAGGCGCCCACGCCGCCGTTGCAAGTTCCCCCAGTTAATGGTAAGTTTGGGCAATTGTAACTTGTTTCAACAAGTTCTATATTATTAACGTTGAGTGAAAACTCACGTTCCGTCATTAAAACACAGAGGTTATCCTTAGTGTTTCTTGATTTGGGGACGCATGGTTAACCATTGTGTTCTAGAACGCGGGTCTGGATCTTACATTTTAAATTTACAATGCAGGTCTGGACCCTACTTTTGGAATTTAGAATGCGGATTTGGACTCTGCGTTTGGACTTTAGAATGTGGGTTCAGACCCTGCGTTGAGAATTTAGAACACGGTTTTAGACCCTGTGTTTGGAATTTAGAACGCGGGTTCGGACCCTGCGTTTGGGATTTAGAACGCGGGTCCGGACCCTGCGTTTGGGATTTAGAACACGGGTTCGGACCCTGCGTTTAGAATTTAGTCTTTTTCAGACTAATCATTAGTTTCGCACTAACTAGTTGTCTTTTTCATTTGCAGTACGCTATT